CTGCCATGCACGTAAATAATTGTTGTTGATTGCAGATGTGTCTAGTAGTTCCCATTGATTTTGCTTGTAAAGCGGGGAGAATGGCGCTAGGCTTACCGCACTGTGATGTCACTGCCAGTATTCTGTCAGACCAGCATACCTTTATTACCCATAGCAATACGCATACATGCGCATGTTCGTTATTAGCAGCTATCAGTCTCACAGAATGGCATTCCTTTCCCCATGAGGGAATAATAAATCTATTTAAGTGAAAATAATTTCAGTAGTTCTTCATGTAATGTATAAATCGATAAATAAAAATAAAATTATCCACATGTTGCTCATATCAAACAAACTGAAAACAAATAAATCTCATATCCTGTCAACTGGGTTGTAGAATCCTCTCCCTATAAATAATTCTCTGTGAAAAAATGCTGATCACTCTTTAAAAAGATCCTCATCTAACGGGCATGAAATGTTTGTTTATAGCCTAATGTGTGTGACGAACTTAGTGAATGATTTTTTGTTGTTTTATGCACAAACTACAACAAAAAACACACTATATTGCGAAATATGCTTGGATGTTAGGAGTACGAAGACAGAGGAAACTCTATGTAATACGTATTAATAAGGGTATGCTGGCCTGACACGGTATGCTGAGCTGACAGAACATCAGAAGATATCAGGAGTGAGGTGTTACTATATTTGGGCAAAAATGGCCGCTCCCGGACTCAGTGATCACAACGAATATTATTGTTTTGATTTTTTTCACTGATTAACGCTAAATTCATTGAATCACCACAAATGTATTAGTTTTAGGTATAAATAATGATCCTTGGGTTATTCCTTTAATGATGTTGAAGGCTGGGGTTGATTGTGGGCCCTTCTTCTGATTGGTCCTTTTACTGATCCAGAGTCAGAAGCTCTCAGATTCCAGCAGTGAAGCATCATCATTACTGTCAGCTTTAGTTCTGTTGGATTTCTGGAGGAAAACCCGGTTAGGTTGCTCCTGAACCGCTCTATAGAGACCCAGGAGTTTAGAATCTCACTTTGATCTGTGTTCATTTTAAGTCCACTGGAACCAGGTCTGTTGGTCCAAATGGAATTATAAATGGTAAATAATAGTGGTGTTCTGTTCGGTTGGTTGGGGATTGGTTCTATTTGTGTCTTGTGCATTGGGTTTGTGTTTCAATGGGTTCCAACGGAGGTGGAGGTGTCATGGTTTGCCTTTGTTTACCTGGCAGCTCACCCTCATAGGATCTATTGGAAGAAAATATGAGACCATCTGTAATAAAGATGAAGCCAAACTGGGCCCTGCATCATGACAGAGACCCAAACGTGTATCAGAATATTTAACAAAGATATGAACATTTTCTTTTGGGGTGTCCAACATGTTATTTAACTTAATGCTGTTTCTTAAAAACAAGTGCAAGCATGTTGGAACTGTGGTTCTGCATTCTTGGTTGGACCCACTTAGAGAGTTGAAGGTGCAGAGCAGAACCCATGTGAGTCAAACTGGTTAGCAGGCCCTGATTGCAGACCCTGCTGGACCTACCTGGACCCAGTTAGCCCATCTGGACCCACCTGGACCACTGATCTTTATTTATTCACTGGATTGCTGATTGCCAGAGAAAGGTGAAGCCACTGTCTGCCATGCTGGTACTCCCCACTGGGATGTGCAGTAAAAATGCCTACATGTGTAGCATTTGGCTGCAAAAACAAGCAGTTTGCAGGCTCTAGAAAGACAATTCATATGTAATTTCACAGTCAGGGGATGAACTAACCAAGAAAATCAAGATTTATACGCCAATGTATCCTATAGCATAGTATTAGTCTTGCTATCTCATTATACAGTTTGAGCTGTAGCTGTGTGCAACGATTGAAAATTGAGCTATAGGCAGAAGTTCAACTTTAGAAATGATTACTAACACTCATCTGCCTCCAACACAGCCAATCAGCTTTGAACCACACCTCCATGAAAGCCAATCAGCATCCATAGTTCATCTTAAAATCTCTCCAAATCCACATCTCAGTCTGCTACCAGAAGCGCAGGCAGCGGTTGTGCTATGTTGGACTTCCATTCAGATGACCTCGTTTCAACCCACATCCAGCCTCTTTTCCACCATCAGAGTTTCATTCCTCTTATGCGTTCCGTGTCTCATTTCA